CTTTCCATACATGTCGCCGCTGTCCCTTTCCGACGTCCGGGGACGTCTCGAACGTTTATGCGAGCGGTCGCGAAAAGATGGTTTAGACTCGCGTATTTGTTTTAAAATATGTTCATTGCTTCAACATTGAAAAAGCAAGGTTTTCGAAAGGGGTTCTTATGGAGTCGCCACCAATATTTTGACCATAAACATTGGAAAAGGAGGAAAAGGCGTTGTTTTTAATAAAAAACCAGTCTTGGCCATTATAACCAGAGTTAGGTAAGGGAGTTAGTTACGTGTGGGGAAGGTGTTAGCACCCCACAACGCCCCTTTCGGGTTCCCTATGACAGATTAATTCATTTAAGTAAAGACTACGAGAAATTACGCGATTACCCTATTTTATTACATAATATTAAATGGCTATCTACATGATTTTATTCTATATTGCATGCATAAAATGATTAATAAAGCTAAATAAAGCAATAAAAGAGACAAAATAGCTATCTACATGATTTTATTCTACATGGCATAAATAAAGCTAAATAAAACAATAAATAAAGCAATAAAAGAGAAGAGAATTGAAAAGAACCTCCGTAGCAAGCTTGATATTGAGAATCTCGAACCGTGAGGATGCGTTTTGGCAACCCCTCTCTACACGAGACTCTCCTCACCAATACAGGATCGACTCTACTAAAAATTTAAAGAAGAATCGAATGCCTGAATATAATTCCTTAACCGATTGTTACCTATTTAAGGCAATCGGAAAGATCATTCAAGAGAGGGAGAGAAATAGACAAGTGCTTCGAGTTTTAGAAAGTGTTTCAGAGCTCTCCGGGATGTCTCGGGGTGTAAAAAAGTGGCAAATGAGCCTCCTATTTATAGTTTTTCGCAGTTGGCGCACTTTGGGACGGCCGTCCGGGTTGGGACGGCCGTCCGGACTGGGATGGCCGTCCCAAATGGCAAATTTACACGAAGCGGGACCCCAGGAAGGCCGGGACGGCCGTCCCACTTGAACCGGGTTTGGGACGGCCGTCCCACATTCGGACGCGCGTCCCAGCTGCTTAATCGCAGTTGGGACGGCCGTCCCACTTTGGGACCGTGGTCCGGCACTGTTTTGTCCAGTTTTCGTGTTCTGGGACCCAGGAAGCTTTCCTTTCCTTTTTCGGACATAGATTGATGCCGATGTGTGTCCGTTGAAGCTTTATCTTCATATAGGAAGTCTTCTTGGCCTTCATTAAGATGCCGGGCGAGCTTTGTCTTTGTGTAGGAAGTCTCTTTTGGCTTGTACCGTGTGAATGAGTGAACTCCGTCTTCTGTTGTGGGAGGTCCTTCTTGGTTTTGGGAAGCCGGATGAACTCCATCTTTGGGTGAAATTCCTCTAGCTTTTATTTTGAGAGGCCGGGCAAAATTAGGGGTCTACAATACAAAAGTTAAGTGCTGTGAGTGCCAGAGAACTGTTTGTTGCAAGGAAAGGGGGCTTTTGGAAACCTGGTGTGAGGCTAGAAGCGATAAGAATCACTAAGTGGAGTTCTTAGTGGATTGTGTGCTGTGCCGTCTCTAGGGAAAGCTGTTCTTCATCTCTTGTGGATTTCAAGAGAGGTGTTGTCTTTACTTTATCTCTTTGATTTGTAATCTGTTTATAACAATTTGTTCTTAGTGACAGCGTTAATCCTCTTTTGAGTGATTAGCAACTGGACGTAGGGTCTTTTGATCCGAACCAGTATAAACCTACTGTGTAATCTTCTCTACTCTTCTCTATTTACATTTACGCAGTTTTTAATCGGTAAAATTTGGGGAAAATTTTGAAAACCTAATTTTTATTAAGAAACCAATTCACCCCCCCTCTTGGTTTTTGTCCGACCACGCGAACATTCCGCTGCGCGATTCTAACATTGTCCATCTAGAAAAGGTTTAGGAATGTCAACACTGTTCTCAGTAACTTTAGGAACATATGGACCGTTTAAAATAGCGTCCCAAATGCCTCTATAAACAGACTTTAAAAAGATTTGCATTCTTACTTTCCAGAAAGGATAATTTTGACCCGTAAAAAGTGGGGGTCTGTTGATAGACGCACCTTCGGCAAAAGTTTGATTTTGTCTGGCCATTTTCGAAAAATTTGAATGACTATCAAAGCAAGCTCTGATACCACTTGTTAGAATCGCGCAGCGGAATGTTCGCGTGGTCGGACAAAAACCAAGAGGGGGGGTGAATTGGTTTCTTAACAAAAATTAGGTTTTCAAAATTTTCCCCAAATTTTACCGATTAAAAATTGTGTAAATGTAAATAGAGAAGAGAAGAAATCTTACACAGGAGATTTATACTGGTTCGGATCAAAAGACCCTACGTCCAGTTGCTAATCACTCAAACAGAGGATTAACGTTGTCACTATAATCACAATTGTTACAAACAAATTACAATGGAAAAGATAAAGTAAAGAAAACACCTCTCTTGAAATCCACAAGAGATGAAGAACAGCTCTCCCTAGAGACGGCACAGCACACAATCCATTAAGAACTCCACTTAGTGATTCTTATCGCTTCTAGCCCACACCAAGTTCCAAAAGCCCCTTTTTCTTGCAACAAACAGTTCTCTGGCACTCACAACACTTAACTTTTGTATGAAAAAGGTTGTTCTTCCTTTTCTGAGTGCCATAGAGAAGCTTAAGTAGAGAAATTAGGGTTTGGGAATTGGGAATTTCGAAACTAGGGTTATTAGAAATAGGGTTTTCGAAAATAGGGTTGATTTGAAGTTAAAAATCAAAATCTGACTGAAATAATTGATTAAATGAAGTGTTAATCGATTATTACAGAGCCAAAATCAACAGAACCCCAAAACTCTCTATTGTAATTGATTAAAAGACCTGTTAATCGATTAACAGGCCTATTAATCGATTAACAGGTGAGTTAATCGATTAAACCAGTGAGCAGATACAAAAAATGGTTTTTCTCACTGTTTTAATCGATTATTTCACCATTTAATCGATTAAAGCCGAGGCACTTTGATAAATTTGAGCTTTTTGAAGCTTCTAAGGTGTAGACTATGTACCGGCTATCTCAAACTCTAATATTACAGACTCAATCTAATCAAAACAGAGTTATTACAATATAAAACAAGTCTTCAACACTCTAAGTCTTGTGTTCTTGAATCATCATCAAAATCAACAAGCTTCATGTCCATCAAGTTCAACATCAAGTCCTTGAATGTTCAACACGTCAAGCAGGCCGGGACGGCTGTCTGGGCTTCTGGCAGGCAAGACGACCATCTAGGATATCGAGACGATTGTCTCAGGCTCAAAGAAAGGCGAGACGATCGTTTGGCTAAACAA